TAAGATACAGATGAAAAGGTTAAATTAATAAACGGCTGATGTTGTTTCCTTTCACATAATAGTTATTCAATCACTCCACGATTAAAACAAACAGGCAGTGTTTCATAGAGAATCATCATAAATACATAGTTAAGCCATCAACCCTACAAAAACATCGACCAAACTACTAGATATACAATCTTGAGCACCAGCGGTCAGTTCTTTATCATGGTTGGACTTCAGTTTTAGATCAAACATACAGTATAAGCGATGCAAACTGAATATTGATATAGTTTAAAAAAGGCCACATGATGCTTTGTAATTGTCCTAAGAGTCCTAAAAGGCATTCAATTATTTTTTTCTCTCGTTTTCTTGTGATCGTGACTTAATTATGGGATGTTAATCTCTGCTCTGTCCACTTCTCATGTTAAAAATTCAACTTTGCAGTTTAACAAAGTGACTTTTAGTGACATTTTTGTAGTTTAAAATAATATAACGTGTCGGCGCCAATAGCCTAGGTTAGTGTGTCAACACATAGCACCAAGGTGCTCGCAGCGACCAGAGTTCGATTCCCGTCTCGAGGTCCTTTGCTGATCCTTCCCCTATCTCTGCTCCCCACACTTTCCTGTCTCTATATCTCCACTGTCCTATCAATAAAGGTGAAAACCCCTAAAAAATAATTATTTAAAATAATATAACGTGTAAGAAATGATATATATAGAGAAATAAGTGTGTAAAATAACAGAAAAAATACAGGCAGTTCATCACAAGGTGTTTATAGTGTAATATACAACACCAACCCAAGCAATATAGCACTTTATACAACAGTTCTGTCTGGTTCTCGAATCTGATTGGCTGAAAGCTGTGAGATATTAAACTAATATCAGCACTCGCACAGCCTCTTCACCCTTGTGTATTACTCCGCCCACTTGAGTGGCAAGCAGAGGACTACAGTTTGACAAATATTGCAGCTGTTGGACAATGTAATGTACTTTTGAGGTTTTCAGGCGACAATGTAGTTGTTTAGATGGCAAATATGCAGTTTATTTTGTTTTGGCAACTATGCAATTTATAAGGATAGTGCCTATATGAAAATATATATAATTTCGGAGATTCAGTGAGTGTGCGGCCATTAGCCTATCATACTGAGCAGAGCACTGATGGTTGATGTTCCACCACAAGGTGATTATTTCTCAGACTATAATCGTACCACCAAAATTTATAATCGTTTAAATCCCTAGTTTGACATGCCCCGCCCCCTTTAAGATACTTCTTATTTGATGCGCATAAGCTCAGCAGCTCTCATTAGCAAAGCTGTGATCAAGCAAAACGCTATTGGCTGTTTTTTAAAAAGGGGAGGGGCTACTCTATACTCCTTCCCCCCACCCCACCACAATCTCTTCTTATTTTGGTTGAGATGAAGTCCTACTTTAAATAAAAATGCACATTTCGAAGCACTTCATGTGACCTTTAAAGCATAAACAATATTAACAGCATCATGTGGCCTCTTTAATAAAGAATAATGACTTTAAGGAAGCAGGAAAAGAAGCATCAGTCATATTTGATTCATCATTATGTATCTAAATGTCATTGTGTGCAATTTATATTTGTACGAATAAATTTAAATATATTTTCTCTCAGGCCTGAAACATACTCTACAGGCATGACATAATGGTTTGATTATCAGTTAATGCACTAATTTGGCAATATTATGGTTTGCAATAATTGGCAATAATATGGTTATTTGCTATATTGTGCAAGCTGACGTTAAGTATGTCTGCACATACCAAACAAAAACAGATTTTGTGAGAGCAAAAGCATTGATTACATGATGAAGATTCTTAAAATAGAGTCTAAATTAAGCTATAATTCATGGTATGAAAGCGTTTGATATCTGAAAGTTACTCTTCAACAAATGCAGTCTCGTTTCTAGTCCAAATATATCACAAGTATTAAATCAAGAAGCACTTTCTGGACAAAGAAAAAAATATTGTGTTGTTTTCACGGTGGCTCTGTGGTTAGCACTGTTGCCTCACAGCAAGAAGATCGCAGGTTTGAGTCCTGCCTGGGTTAGTTGGCATTTTTATGTGGAGTTTGCATGTTCTCCCCGTATTGGTGTGGGTTTCCTCCACAGTCCAAACACATGCGCTATAGGGGAGTTGATTAATTAAATTGGCCGTAGTGTATGAGTGTGTATGTGAATGAGAGTGTATGGGTGTTTCCAAGTACTGGGTTGCAGCTGGAAGAGCACAGCTGTGTAAAGCATATGCTGGAATAGTGGGAGGTTCCTTCTGCTGTGGCGACCCCTGACGAATCAGAGACTAAGCCAAAGGAAAATGAATGAATGTTTACAGAAATAGTGAGTTTTTCCTTAAAACAAGCAAATAATCGAGAGGGGTCTGGCTGCAGACCTGGTGCAGTGCAATCTGGGCTGCATCCAATGCTTTTTAATGCGCTCACCTAACCCCACCCCTAACCCTACCCGTCACAGTGACGTCACCAGCTCCATTTGAGTGCACTGTGTCTGACATTGATGCAGTCTCAGCTTGCATCATAAAGGCTGCATCCAGATACTATTGAAATAATCTGCCAGTGGTGTAAATAAAATAACATTACTTGACTTAAACACTGGCAGATTATACTGGAAAAGCTCTGCAGTAATTCTGAAAACAGCACAGTGTTGTTTTCCTTGTCCAGAAAATGCTTCTTGATTTAAATATTTTTATATATTTGATCTAGAAACAAGACAAAACCTGCACATTTGTGCAGTGTATAATATATTTCAACAATATCACAGGATCAGTGGTAGACACTAAATTCAATGCAAGTTGCTTCAGATGAAATCATCAGCAATGTGCATTAAAATAAAAGATGAACAAAAAAGTACACTTAACCTCTTAAGGCGCAGGGTGTTTTTTACATGCATTTTTTATTTTTCTTTGCTATTTGGGCTTATTGTAACCTAATTAGAATCAAACCTAAGTATCATCTTTTGATATGATGTACTTTTAGAGAAAATGATGTCCATATGTCGACTCGTGGTCCCAATTTACGTAAAACACTTTTTCCTGAATGTTTTGTAATGCATATTTAACATAGAGAATTTTTTGAACATGTTTTGACTATCAGAGAGTAAAAACTATTTTTTATTCCCATTTTGGTCAGTTAAAAACAGTGTTTGGGACGTTTCATATGCTGTAAAACAGTTGCAGGATGACACTGTATGTCTGTAACAAAATGTAAAACATTTAAAGTATTTTAAATAGTCACTTCAGAGCTAAAATGTGCTGTCCACGTATGTGGACACTCAAGCCCTAGCAGAGTAACGACACAATTATTAGCACTCCAGTGAAATGATAATACTTCCAAAGTGCTGCTTATCAAAGAGATTTCTTCAACATATTTCTTTTTCAGCTTAATAGTTTTAATAACTCATCTGCCATGTTGACAGCACATAATATTTGACTAGATAATCTTCAAGACACTAGTATTCAGCTTAAAGTGACATTTAAAGGCTTAACTAGGGTAATTAGGGTAAATGAAAGGCAAGAGGGCGATGCAGTGGTGAAGTAAGTAGTGCTGTTGCCTCACAGCAAGAAGGTTGCTGGTTTGAGCCTCGACTGGGTCAGGTGGCGTTTCTGTGTGGAGTTTGCATGTTCTCCCTGCGTTCGCGTGGGTTTCCTCTGGGTGCTCCGGTTTCCCCCACAGTCTAAGCACATGTGGTACAGGGGAATTGGGTAGGCTAAATTGTCCGTAGTGTATAGGTGTGAATGAGTGTGTATGGATGTTTCCCAGAGATGGGTTGCGGATGGAAGGGCATACGCTGCGTAAAAACGTGCTGGATAAGTTGGCGGTTCATTCCGGTTGGGCATTGTTATACATAGTTAAATTACTTACATTAAGGGTTGAAGTTTATATATTTTTAGAAATAATTAAAAAATTTGAGTCCTTGAGAAATATTGTTGCACGTCCTTGTAAACCAGTTGCACTCATATTCATAGCCATTCCTGTCATAGTCTTAACATGACCATTAGGCTGCTGTTTCGACCTTTGAATGGATACCATATCTTCTTTCATTTTCTTTTCGGTTCCTTTATTAATCAGTGGTCAGCGGAATGAACCGCCAGCTTATCCAGCACATGTTTTACTCCAGCTGCAACCCATCACTGGGAAACATCCAAACACATTCATTCACACACATACACTATGGAAAATTTTGCCTACTCAATTCACCATGTCTTTGGACTTTGAACCGGAGGTAAGCCACGCCAACATGAGGAAAACATGCAAACTCCACACAGAAATGCCAACTGACCCAGCTGAGGCTCGAACCAGCGACTTTCTTGCTTTGAGGTGATCGTGCTAATCACTGCGCCACCGTGAGGGCCCGGATATCATATCTTTCTGTTTCTAATTAACCTTTTTGTATCATGATTAATTGTTATTACAGTTCATGCATATGAAATGGTAAATGACAAGTGCTCTCTATACTACATCAGCATGTCTGTTTAGTTTGGTTTTATATCATGGTGGGTCTTCAAATTGATTGTATTTGTCTAGGTCGGACCTGGAATGTGAAGTTTGCGAACGCCTGCTGTAGACATTCATTAATTTATTCTCCTTAGACCCTTATTAGGTCGTCACAGCAGAATGAACCACCAACTATTCCAGCATATGTTTTATGCAGCTGATGCCCTTCCTCCCTTTACTGGAAAACACGCATACACACTCAAACTCGTACACTATGGCCAGTTTAGTACATCAATTTCCCTATAGCGCATGTGTTTAGACTGTGGGGGAAACCGGAGCACCCAGAGGAAACCCACGCCAACACCAGGAGAACATGCAAACTCCACACAGAAATGCCAACTGACCCAGACGGGGCTTGAATTAGCAACCTTCTCACTGTAAGGCAACAGTGCTAAAAACTAAGCCACCGTGCCACCCGTTATAATATCCTTGCTCTGTTAAACAGCACTCTGGAATTATTTAAAGAATAAATACTTTCACTGGAGGATTTGTTTTTTGCAAGCTCAGACTTGCACAGTTGAAATGTTTGCATGTAAAGCATATTTCAGGCCTGACTCCACTGCATCTTTAAAAAAAGCCCCAAACATCGAAGTGAGCATTTGATGTCAATCTCCAGAGCAATACTGTAGTCACTTTCCTCTTGGCATCATGGGGGTTTTGTTAGGAACGTACCAGCTGGTGACGTCGGATGTAAACAGCGTTCCAGTTAATAGAAATAAAACACTTATAGGAAGAGGAACAGGTTATTCACCAGGGGGGGATAAACAGACGTACCCTCAATACAAAAAGGAAAAATCCCTTTGTGCTTTAAATCTTCTGCTGCTGCTGGAGGATCTCACAGGGGTTTCTGAGGAGGCTTCTGGGTTTTCTTCTCGTATGAGCCTGCGTGCTTGTATCCAGAGACGTATCCAGATGTGTCCAGCTGCTCCACGCGGCCGGCTTTCCCCTTCCCGCGGCCCGTCTCGTCGAAACGCTCCTTGTGGGAGCCGGTGAACTTGCTGGTGTCCGTCAGGCGGGAGACGGTCGGGGACGCTACGGCTCTCTGAGAGTCCACAAACAGACACATTTAGATGGAATTAATCCACACGTTATCAGTTGTGTCTTTTACTCATGAGTTGAATAGCTGCGCCTCTGGGTGAATTACAGTTAGTGTGAATTTATTTTATTTTTTTCAAGTACTTGTTAATAATTTTAAATGACTGGTAACCCCGCCCCTAAATGACTGTTATCTCCGCCCCAAAGGACTGACAGCTCTGCCCTAAATGTCTGATAGCTCCACCCCAAATGATGGTTAGCTCCGCCCCAAATGACAGTTAGCTCCACCCCAAATGATAGTTAGCTCCGCCCTAAATGACTGTTAGTCCCGCCCTAAATGATTATTAACTCTACCCAAAAGGACTGATAGCCTCGACTTAATAAAATATGCAAATATATTCTCAAGTACTCTATTTAAATGTGCGCATTTCTATAATAACTAATAAATACATGCAAATATATACTGAAATACCGTATATGTGTGCATTTATACATTAACTAATTTATTTTCTTCTACTTATCTGGGGTCGGGTTGTGGGGGCATTCTCAGGAGGGAGCCCCGAACCTCCCTCTCCCCAGACACATCCTCCAGTTCCTCGGGGAGGATCCCGAGGCATTCTCAGGCTAGCCAAGAGACATAGTCCCTCCAGTATGTCCTGGGTCTTCCCTGAGGCCTGGGGACAAGCTTGAAACACCTCCCTAGGTAGGTGTCCAGGAGACATCAGAAACAGATGCCTGAGCCACCTCAGCTGACTTCTCTCGCTGTGGAGAAGCAGCGGCTCTACTCCGAGCTCCTCCCGGGTGACAGAGCTCCTCACCCTATCTCTGATGCTGTGTTCACACCAGACGCGGAACACGCGGATAAATCACGCTATTCGCGCGTAAATAGCCGTGTGAACATTTGAGTTTACTCGCTTCATTCGCGCGTCAAATTCACCTCAGAACAGACGTGGATTCGCGTGATGGGCAGGGCTTCTGTCTGCTTGGTGACTCTAGCTTCATTGCTAAAGGGCTAACATGGATTTTATGAAGAAAATAACAGTGTTTATGTGCTTTATGAAGACTGAAAAACAGCGTCGATACATTTAGGGTCGTGTCTGAGTCCACTACATTCTTTCAGAGGTGCATCCAGCTATGTGAGCTCATAAACTCCTCCAGAAACTGAACCTGGATGACGGAGGCTTTCAGCGGAGCTTCTGACTGAGCCAAGCCCAGTTTGATGAACTGTTGTCGGTGAAGGCTGGAGGATTTCCCTCAGAACTCCGACAACAGGTTCTACGTCACAATCACGCCCCCACAAGAGCAAGCTTCTGATTGGTTAACGCGGCGCGAATGTACGCTGAAGTTCAGATTTTCGAAATCAGGAGATTCGCGCGAAACGCTTGTTAAGTGCGTCAAACACGCAAAATGCTCAATTCGCCCCGTGCCATTAGCGCAATTTGCACCATTCGCGCGTATCGCACCGCAGGATGTCTATTCGTGCGTTTGCATTGACTTAACATTTAAATCACTCGCGCTTGACGCGCGTGCCGCGTCTGGTGTGAACGCAGCATGAGGGTGCGCACTGCCACCCTGCAAAGGAATTTTGGCTGCTTATATCCGAGATCCTTTCAGTCAAGACCCAAAGCTCATGACCATAAGTGCGAGTAGGAACGTAGATTGACCGGTAAATTTTACCGGAGGTTTGCCTTTCGGCTCAGCTCCTTCTTTACCATAATGGACCGGTACAGCGACCGCATTACTGCTGCCGCTGCACCGTTCCGCCTGTCAATCTTACGCTCAATCCTTCCCTCACTCATTAAAATAACCCTAAGATACTTCAAATCCTCCACCTGGGGTGAAGACTTTTCTCCACCTTTTTCCGGTGGAGCACCATGGCCTTAGACTATAGGTGCTGACTCTCATTCCTGCCAAGTCACACGCTACAGCAGCCTGCCCCAGTGCATGTAGAAGGTCCATGTCGGATGAAGATAGCAGAACAGCGTCATCAGCAAATAGCAGAGATGAAATCCTTTGGTCCGGACCCTCTCTAGCCCAAAGCTGCGCCTAGAAATTCTCTCCATAAAAACTATGAGCAAAACCAGTGACAAAGAGAACCCTGCTGGACTCCAACATGCACTGGAAACAAGTCTGACTTATTGCCGGCAATGCGAAATAAACTCCTGCTCTGTTCATACAGGGACCAGACTGCCCTTAACCGAGCGCCTCTGACCCCATACTCCCAGAGCACACACAGAATGCCACAAGGGACACGGTCGAATGCCTTTTTCAGGTTCACAAAACAAATGTGGACTGGTTGGGCATGCTCCCATGAACCCTCGAGCACCCTAGTGAGGATATAGAGCTGGTCCAGAGTACCACGACCTGGACAAAACCCGCATTGTTCCTCCTGGATCCGAGGTTCAACCATCGGCCGGATCCTCCTCTCCAGTACCCTTGAATACACATTTCCAGGGAGGATGAGGAGTGTGATCCCCTAATTGTATTATCTAATAAATATATGCAAATATATATTCAAAGACGGTCTGGGATGCTACAGCACTCTGAGAGTCCAGAAACAGAGAGAAACGTAGATGGAATTCATCCACACATGATCAGTTCTGTCTGTTACTCATGAGTTGAACAGCTGTGCTTTTGTGTGAAACTTGTTTTCTTTTTCAAATATTTGCCAATAATTTTTAAAATGGCTAATAACCCCGCCCCTAAATGATTGTTAGCCCTGGCCTAAAACTCTATTAGCTCCGCCCGAAATGACTGATAGCCCCACCCTAAAAAACATGCAAATATAAATATACACTCAGATAAATTATATAAATATGCAAATATATACTTAAATATCGTATTTGCATGCATGTGTGCATTTATATATTAACGAATAAATATATGCAAATATATACTCAAAATCCATATTTGCATGCACATGTGCATACATATATATTAATTAATATACACAAATATATACTCAGATACTGTATTTGCACGCATGTGTGCATTTATATATAACGAATAAATATATGCAAATATATACTCAAAATCCATATTTGCATGCACATGTGCATATATATATATTAATTAATATACACAAATATATACTCAGATACTGTATTTGCATGCATGTGTGCATTTATATATTAACGAATAAATATATACTCAAAATCCAGATTTGCATGCACATGTGCATACATATATATTAATTAATATACACAAATATATACTCAGATACTTTATTTGCACGCATGTGTGCATTTATATATTAACGAATAAATATATGCAAATATACACTCAAATACGGCATTTACTTACATGTGTGCTATAAATGCACACATGCATGTAAACACAGTATTTGTGTAAATATTTGCATATTAATTTATAAATAAAAATATATGTAAATATATACTTCAATACTTTATTTATATGCATGTATATAATAACAAAAAAATATATGCAAATATATAGTCAAACACCATATTTACATGGTTGTGTGCATTTACATATTAATTAGTAAACACTAACAGAACATTAATATAAAGTGTTACCATAATTATTTATTTTTAACGCAAGACTTTTTATGATGAATTACGCATTATCAGGTCATTATGATCAGCATGTGTGCGCAGCTCTTTACCGTGACTCCTGCAATGACGGGGGATTTTCCTTCGATCATCTTGTAAACCTCCTCGGCGGCGTCTTCGCTGCTCTTCTCTTTGAAGCGTTTTCTGGCCAGCTCCGCCAGCGCCTCTCTGAACTGGCTGTAGGTAATAGTGCGGGCAGACTTGATCCTAGAAAACAATGAGATGAAGCCAAGACAAGCGGCTGATAAATTCGTCAGTATATATTGTGGCATGAAATATAAACACAGAGTGAAGCAGAAACATGCAAGGCCTGATTAAAAGAGCTTCTGTAAACACAAGACAAACACTGCAGATCGCCTCTGACACTGAAACAGAGCATGTCAAACCTCACACAGCTTTTCCAGGAAATTTTATCTTGGCAGATTTAGTGTTTTGGTTTAAATGTAAATGTTTTTAACTCTTAAATAAAATTTAATACATTTTCATTTATATTAACCTCTTGTTTGCAGTACTATTGCAGCTGTAGTTGTAAATAACTGGATGGATAAGTTTTTATCTTTTCTAATTTCATATTAATTTCTTTTGTCACATCTTTGTGTGATTTTTTTTTATCATTAAAACTTGTTCATAGTTTTTATTCATTTTAAATGTAGTATTTGTTACGTCAGTACTTTAAATAAACACTTTGTATGGTTTAGTTAATATATTAGCCCACAGTTTAACTTGACTTACTAAAATGAAAATTAATATGTATTAAATATATACACTCACCAGCCACTTTATTAGGTACACTTGCTAACTGCTCGTTAACGCAAATTAGTAATCAGCCAATCAGATGGCAGCAACTCAATGCATTTAGGCATGTAGACATGGTCAAGACGATCTGCTGCAGTTCAAACTGAGCACCAGAATGTGGAAGAAAGGGGATTTAAGTGACTTTGAACGTGGCATGGTTGTTGGTGTCAGACGGGCTGCTCTGAGTATTTCAGAAACTGCTGATCTACTGGGATTTTCACGCACAATCATCTCTAGAGTTTACAGAGAATGGTCTGACAAAGAGGAAATATATTAAGTGAGCGGCAGATCTTTGGGCGCAAATGCCTTGTTGATGCCGGAGGTCAGAGGAGAATGGCCAGACTGGTTCCAGCTGATAGAAAGACAACAGTAACTCAAATAAGCACTCGTTACAACCGAGGTCTGCAGAAGAGCATCTCTGAACACACAACACGTCCAACCTTGAGGCGGATGGGCTACAGCAGCAGAAGACCACACCGGGTGCCGCTCCTGTCAGCTAAGAACAGGAAACTGAGGCTACAATTCACACAGACTCACCAAAACTGGACAATAGAAGATTGGAGAAACGTTGCCTGCTCTGATGAGTCTCCATTTCTGCTGACACATTCAGATGCTCGGGTCAGAATTTGGCATCAACAACATGAAAGCATGGATCCATCCTGCCTTGTATCAGCGGCTCAGGCTGGTGGTGGTGGTGTTAGGGTGTGGGGGATATTTTCTCTGCACACTTTCGGTCCATTAGTACCAATTGAGCATGGTGTCAACGCCACAGCCTACCTGAGTATTGCTGCTGACCATGTCCATCCCTTTATGAGCACAGTGTCTCCATCTTCTGATGGCTACTTCCAGCAGGATAACACACCATGTCATAAAGCGTGAATCATCTCAGACTGGTTTCTTGAACATGACAATGAGTTCACTGCACTCAAATGGCCACCACAGTCACCAGAGCTCATTCCAATAGAGCACCTTTGGGATGTGGTGGAATGGGAGATTGGCATCATGGATGTGCAGCCGACAAATCTGCAGCAACTGCGTGATGCCATCATGTCAATATGGACCTATGGCAGTGGGGTCCATCCCAGTACTAGTAAGGTGTGCCTAATAAAGTGGCCAGTAAGTATAGACTCATTAAAACACTCAACTCGAAGAACTTATCGAATAAAATAAATACAAAATCAAAGTGCAAAATAAAAACAAACTAAACTAATAATAAATAATAATAATGAAGCTGTTATGGTAGGGGCTGCATGGTGGTGCAGTAGATAGCACGTTCGCCTCACAGCAAGAAGGTCGCTGGTTCGAGTCTCGGCTAGGTCAGTTGGCATTTCTGTGTGGAGTTTGCATGTTCTCCCCATGTTCGCGTGGGTTTCCTCCGGGTGCTCCAGTTTCCCTCACAAAGTCCAAAAAACATGTGATATAGGTGAATTGGGTAAGCTGAATGAGTGTGTGTGGATATTTCCCAGTGATGGGTTGCAGCTGGAAGGGCATCCGCTGCGTAAAACATATGCTGGATAAGTTGGCGGTTCATTCCGCTGTGGCGACCCCTGATTAATAAAGGGACTAAGCCAAAAAGAAGATTAATGAATGTTATGTTAGGTAAGCGTGCAACAGTGTGAGGAACCAAATGCAGCTTATTTTAAAAGGCTTCCAATGAATCACGTGAGTAAATGTTGATTTCTGTGTGAACTGTCCCTTTAAGAGCAGATAAATCATCAGTTTTCAGCTAGTTCTGCTTCTGGATGCCGCCTCTGGCGAGCAAACACAGAGCCAAACTGTTTATCACACTGAAGTAAACTAAATACCGGACGACTCCATTGGACGCTCGCTCCTTGATGGCAGAGACTAAAGATACGGGAAGCATTTTCTGCATTTAAAAGCTGATGAAAAGTGAAATGAGAGATGTGTGTGTGATGATCTAAACCAGGGGTCTCAAACTCAATTTACCTGGGGGCCGCAGGTGGCAAAGTCTGGGTGAGGCTGGGCCGCAAAAGGGATTTCACAAAAAAAAGTCCTCAAATGTCATTATTAACAGTTTTAATTATTTCTTCTGAACATGAAGTGTCCTGAACATTAATAGAACATTGAGTGAAGATTATGAACAGTTCTTCTGAACATGGCATCTTTTGCCTACTCCTTGCTGCCAGAGACTTGACAGCGCTTCTTCTCACAAATCTGAACCACATTTGGCTTTAGAGCGGAAGCAGTTGAGACCCTCAGTATGGCTTGAAGATGATCATCATTAAGTCTAGACCTGTACTTTGACTTATTGAAGTTCAAGGTGGAGAATAACTTCTCACACAAATATGTGCTCCCAAAAAGGCACATGGTCCGCTTGAACCCCACTCCAGTCACATCAGTCTGTGCCAGTCTGTATCTACCTATAATATATATAAGATGCAGGCTGTAGCTAGGTAGCTAAGAGGCAGGCAGGGGCGGGAACAGCTTACCTTGGTTCTGGCCGGCGCGAGTTCCCTCCTAACACTTCCCGCCCGTCACAGCATCTAACAAAGGGGCGGGGTGCGTGGTGACGTCACCGGCATCCCCGCCCCTTTGTTTACACGGCGGGCTGGGAATACCAGTGACTGC